GGGCATTGGCCTGTCATCAGATTGTATTTGTTGTTGCTGCTGCAGCGGAAGTTTAGTACAATTATTTTTGATTAAATACTCCAAATCTCCACCCTCCATAATTGCACTTGCTTCAGTTGCTTGCTACTTTCTAACGGCGGTGAGAGTGGTGCAGTGACGCTATCTATCTTCTATCGATTAGATTTATGATTTGAAAAATTATAAAAGTAGAGTAGACATGTGGATATTATCCGACGGAACAAAACGTGCATTTACCTAACAGGTTCGTTTTCCACTGACCTTTTTTCGAGCTATTTTCCAAAATCCTATGGAGAAATCCCATTGCTATTTTGTCGAGGGAAACCGAGCGCAGCTTACTTCCGCTTTTTGGGACGCGTCACTGCACCACTAAATTGATGCGATTTGATTGGATTGTGAGGCATCAGCCTCTGGCTTCCCTTGGCATGGCTCTGACCAATCACAGGTTGGCAGGGGCATGCGATCATCTGATTGGTCAATCCCTCCATTTTTTTTCACCAAGGGAAGCAAATTTCTGCTGGCCTCCTCTCGCAACAGAGAGTGCAATCTACTGTTTCACCATAACATCTAGAGGGGCGCTGTTTCACTCTTTGTAAAATACTCAATGAGAATGGGGGAGAGACACACAACAAAGAATTTCCGAAACTAAACGAAGTGTTTTATTTATTTATTAAAATGATAACTACAATCCGAAAATACAGGGGAAGCCTGGCTTCCCTTGGCCTCCAGGAGAAAACGCCACTGGAAGGTATTAATACACACGGTTTACCCTCTGCCACCGGTAGACTGTAGTCTGAGCGGCGATAGTGGAGCCTCGCAGCGTGGCAAAACTATTGCGCGCTTACACTGCAGGTGCGCCGTGTTTGGGGGATGCGGATTTCTCGCTGTCTCGAAGCAAGCAGGAAACCACACCAGTAAGCCAGCTCACACTGACAGCTCCTCGCAGCAGCGAGCTGACCAATCAGAGCACAGTGGGCTCATAGGGAGGGGGGGGGTCAGGAGCTCCAACAAGCCGTTTAGGACAGAGAGTGAATACACATACTATACAGAGATGCTGTCTGAGAAACCAATGTGAGTTTGGAACATTGAACAATGTACATCTATTCTAGTAGACCTCAACAATGGAATCATGATCAGTAGAAATGGCCATGGGACCTTTATGCTCAGGATGACACTTACATTTTCAAAATAAAAGCACAAAGTAACTTTTTCCTTGCTTTAAAGGTGGGGTAGGTAATTTTGGAGAAACCAGCTCGAGTGCGCTGTGGCTAAATGACCAATTTGAAAATACACAGCCGGAAAAACTCTGCCACTTCCTCACAGAGCCCCTCCTCCAACACACGTGAACGCGCACATGACCAATGAGGGCACGAGATAAGTTTGTGCACAGATGGAAGGCTGACAGGCAGGTAGGCCATCCAGTTACTTTAGCCGGCTCAGATGATTGGTCGTGCTTTTTACAGCACCTCGGCTTCACAGATGATGTTTTATGAATTTTTTGTCAAAGCTCTTCAGATATTCATTGCTATCGGATGTTAAGAGCATTCCATGGAATATAACAAGTGTATCTCGAGCCGGTTTCTCAAACTGACCTACCCCACCTTAAAGCTCAGAATGGCTTATTTTTCAAAATAAAAAAGGTGAAGATTTGGTTTTGAGTTTGTTTTGAGTGAGGACAGATCAATGCGTTATAATCCGTTTCCATCTTCCTCTGTATCCACTGCTCTCCTCTTCCTCAGCTCCTCCCAAACCTCCGGAGTCGGGAAGGAGGTCCAGGTGGGATCAGTCCCAGCAGAAAGAGGAGCAGAAAGAGGAGCAGAAGCAGCAGGAGGAGGAGAAGAAGAAGCAGGAGGACCCGCTGTCTGAGCTGCTCAGCGCCGCAAGAAACCAAACTGCAAACAGAGCTGAAGATCCAGAGGTAACGACTCACTAACCACTAACCATTAACCACTAACTCAACCACTAACCACTAACTCACTAACCACTAACTCAACCACTCACCACTAACTCACCCACTAACCACTAACTCACTAACCACTAACTCACCCACTAACCACTAACTCACTAACCACTAACTCACCCACTAACCACTAACCACTAACTCACCCACTAACCACTAACTCACTAACCACTAACTCACCCACTAACCACTAACCACTAACTCACCCACTAACTCACTAACCACTAACTCACTAACCACTAACTCACCCACTAACCACTAACTCACTAACCACTAACTCACTAACTCAACCACTCACCACTAACTCAACCACTAACCACTAACTCACTAACCACTAACTCAACCACTCACCACTAAATCACCCACTAACCACTAACTCACTAACCACTAACTCACTAACCACTAACCACTAACTCACCCACTCACCACTAACTCAACCACTCACCACTAACTCAACCACTCACCACTAACTCACCCACTAACCACTAACTCACCCACTCACTAACTCACTCACTAACTCACTAACCACTAACCACTAACTCACCCACTCACCACTAACTCAACCACTCACCACTAACTCACCCACTAACCACTAACTCACCCACTAACCACTAACTCACTAACCACTAACCACTAACTCACCCACTAACCACTAACCACTAACTCACCCACTAACCACTAACTCACTAACCACTAACTCACTAACCACTAACTCACCCACTAACCACTAACTCACTAACCACTAACTCACTCACTAACCACTAACTCACCCACTAACCACTAACTCACCCACTAACCACTAACTCACCCACTAACCACTAACTCACCCACTAACCACTAACTCACCCTCTAACTCACCCACTAACTCATCCACTAACCACTTACCCACTAACTCACTAACCACTAACTCACTAACTTCTGACTTTAGAGCTCTCTCTCTTTCTCTCTCTCTCTCGCTCTATCTCTCTCGCTCGATCTCGCTCTCTCTCTCTATCTCTCTCTCTGGCTCTCTCTCTCTCTCTGGCTCTCTCTCTCTATCTCTCTTTTTCTCTCTCTCTCTGGCTCTCTCTCTCGCTCGCTCTCGATCTCGCTCTCTCTCTCTCTCTCTCTCTGGCTCTCTCTATCTCTCTCTCTGGCTCTCTCTCTCTCTCTCTCTCTCTCTCTGTCTCTCTCTCTCTCTCTCTCTCTCTCTGTGTGTGTGTGTCTGTAACCTACAATGTTCTCTTCATACAGAGGAAGTCAAAGGACCCAGACGAGGAGGAAGAAGAAGGAGAGGAGGAAGAGGAGAGCCGGCCTCCATTGGATCTGTTTAAAGCCATCTTCGCCAGCTCCTCTGACGAATCCTCCTCTTCATCAGAGGAAGAGGAGGAGGAAGAGGGAAGAGAGGAACAGGAAGTGAAAGTAGAGCCACAACTATTCAACATCTCGTCTTCTTCCTCCTCCATCCCCTCCTCCATCCCCTCCTCCATCCTCTCCTCCATCCCCTCCTCCACTTCCAGCCAAGAGCAAGGTAAACAAAACACAACTTACTATTTCAATCAGTGTGTAGTGTCTCTACTTTAAAGAGTCCTCTCCTGCTGATGTTCAGGTGTATATCAGTATGTAGTGTCTCTACTTTAAAGAGTCCTCTCCTGCTGATGTTCAGGTGTATATCAGTATGTAGCGTACTCTACTTTAAAGAGTCCTCTCCTGCTGATGTTCAGGTGTATATCAGTATGTAGTGTCTCTACTTTAAAGAGTCCTCTACTGCTGATGTTCAGGTGTATATCAGTATGTAGTGTCTCTACTTTAAAGAGTCCTCTCCTGCTGATGTTCAGGTGTATATCAGTATGTAGTGTCTCTACTTTAAAGAGTCCTCTCCTGCTGATGTTCAGGTGTATATCAGTATGTAGTGTCTCTACTTTAAAGAGTCCTCTCCTGCTGATGTTCAGGTGTATATCAGTATGTAGTGTCTCTACTTTAAAGAGTCCTCTACTGCTGATGTTCAGGTGTATATCAGTATGTAGTGTCTCTACTTTAAAGCCTGCT